TTTGGAAGGGCATGTGCTGAAACTGAAAAAGGGCACCCCCGCCCCAATGACAAATTAAATAACACAAAATAATAGTCTCAAAAGCTAGATTTATTCACTATTAATAACAACTATAATATATATATATATATATATATAGGGCTTCTTAGGTCTATAGGTCTACATGTTATACACTATTATAATGACATTGATATGGCTTTTAAAGACTGCTTAATTTCTAAATCTCAAAGGTGGAAGTCAGGACTAATAGACTTGGCCTGGAAAAAGGACATCGTATGATAGCTTGGCATTATACAGTGCAAAGGATATCTGGCCTTCTAGATGTAAAATAGGCTATAACAATGGGCCTCCTGGGTAGTTGTCATTATTATTTGGGTAGTCATTATTATAGGGTCCTGTGTTTGTGAATTGCTCTTGTGTACTCACTCTTTTTTTAATTGTATTATATATATATACACATATACATACATACACATATACTGAGTAGTGTGAGTAGTGTAATACAATTAAGACAAAATGTGAAGCAAACGGTTAAACACACTACACTAAAAAAACTAAAAGTACTAAAAATATATGATTAAAATAAAATTAGAAAAATATTTTTTTTTTTATTTAGCTTCATGTTTATTTTAGTTTTAGTTTAGGAGTTTTTTTTTTTTTCATTTGTTTTCATCTAATATTTATATTTTACTTTAATTTGCAAAAACGGGTACAGTACATTGTCCCAAAAGGCTTTTTTCTGTGTGGCATCAGTCTTTGCTATACGCAGTGTTTCTATGTGTCTCAGGTGGTGTACGCCTTGCTCATGCCTGCCAGTGGGACGTTGGGCGAGGATGCTAGTGACTTCCAGTACAACTTCTTGAAGAGTGGTGGCCTGCCCCTGGTTTTGAGCATGCTGACCAGAAATAACTTCCTGCCAAATGCTGACATGGAGACCCGGCGGGGAGCTTATCTCAACACACTAAAAATAGCCAAACTGCTGCTCACAGCTGTAGGCTTTGGCCATGTGAAGTCTGTGGCGGAGGCCTGCCAGCCTGTGGTGGAGGGGACTATCCCTGTATCGCCTGTAAGTTGCCTTTGCTTAAGCTCCTAACTGTTCCTTTCAAGGAAAAGTATAAGCACAATACCTTCAATGAAATTTACTTTACAGAAAATGACCAAAGCTTAGACCCTCAGTTTATTTAATACATTTCCATATCATATTGAGATTTTAAAACTGAAGCAAAGGCATAAAAGAGAGACTTGGTGTCTCGGGGACAAAAAGTGAACCTGCGCTCACTTGTGTGCTTAGCTTTACACTTCTGTCCAGTACCGCATCTCATAAAAGTGCACTTGGCACAGCCTTAGTATTTAGTTAGGACCAATTATGGGGGGATGGGACAGTAAAGTTTGCTTGCTGCAAAAACACAATTTTGTTTGAAAAACTGCAAGGAAGTAAGTGAAGTGTTTTTTTTTTGTTTTTTTTTACTGAGTGGATTTTATAGGTTTAGCACTGAGAGTTTCATTTCTGTTTAAGACTGTAACCTTTCAGCCTCCCTGACATTCATCAATCATTAGAAACAGGCTGGCTTTCCCTATGCAGCTCCACAAATGTCAAGGGTGTACAGTGTCTTGTGAGGAAACACTCACACAGACTCCAGAAGCATTTACATGAGGGAGTAATAACCATGAAAAAGGGGAAAGTTATATGTACTTTGATTATGCAATTTTCTCTTTATTTGACTATTTTATTATGTTTCTATGCATGTCGTGGAACAATATTTATGACTACTAGGGTTGGAAATTAACACTGACCATGATTTTGACTGCATCACAAGCTGAAATGTGAAGCTCATATATTTTGTTTAAGCACTGAATGTTTCCGTTAAAAAAAACATGATTTGAAGTTTTTACCGATGTTGGGTAGAGTTTGCTGCATTTAAACAGTGCTTCGCAGATTCTAACTTTGCACAGACAGGGTTGTTAAACCAAAGTGTTATGTTTATACCTTTGAAACCGCATTAGTGTATCTAACTCACTTAACAATACACATTGTGATCAACTTCATGTGTATACACTACTGTTCAAAATTTTGGGCTCAGTAAATCTTTTTTAAAGGAATTAATACTTTTATTTAGCTGGAATGCATTCAATTGATAAAAAATGACAGTAAAGACATTTGTTACAAAAGATTTCTATTTAAAATAAATGCTGTTCTTTTGAACTTTCTATTCATCAAAGACTCCTGAAAAAATTTATCCCGGTGAAATAAACTGCAAAAAAGAGACTGAAAGTGATAAACGTGCATTAGAGACCTAGCATGAATCTGCAAGAGAACACTTTTTTTTTTTTCTAATTCATTCATAGATCAACCAGACCACACATGACCAGGCTCTAGTGCTACAGAACGCCTTGCAGAATATTCCCAACCCCTCCGCCGAGTGCATGCTGCGGAACGTGGCCATCCGCCTCGCCCAACAGATCTCAGATGAGGTATGTTATACAACACCACACAATTATCACCTACAGAAACTGGTTTGTTTGCATTGTTCGAATAAATGTCCTCGGCTACCTTGAATAAAAATGTCTGTAATGTATTTTATGATCAAAAGTGTTTTGTTGAAACCTCTTTTTTTGCTTTGTGTGTAATAAAAAAGTTGTGCAAAGGAAATAACTGAGGAAACACCTCATGTTTCAGGCTCAGTTTTCTTAGTTTGTCCTTCTCTTCCTGTACCCAGAACTTCTTCCAGGCCTCTAAGTACATCCCAGATATCTGTGTCATTCGAGCGGTTCAGAAGATAGTCTGGGCTTCTGGCTGTGGCTCTGTTCAGCACGTCTTCAGTTCTAATGAGGAGATCAGCAAGATCTACGAGAAGGTGCTAGCTCTTAGCTATATTGAAAAAACCCTATATGTGATTCATTAGAATCAGATTCAGTATTATCAGACTCCGTATTTATGCCTGTAATGTGTGATCTCCTGCAGACAAATGCTGGCAATGAGCCGGATACAGAAGATGAGCAGGTGTGCTGTGAAGCTCTGGAGGTCATGACCCTGTGTTTCGCCCTTATGCCCACTGCACTAGATGCACTTAGCAAAGAAAAGGCCTGGCAGACCTTCATTATAGATCTGCTGCTGCACTGCCAGAGCAAGTGAGTTATCATAAAATAGAGTACTGTTATTCCTGTTATGCTGTTGCTTTTGAACTTTGTAATTTTCAATAAAATGAATATGCTTTGTTTTAAGTATTTTTATATAAAGTTACACCAGACTTTCAGAAATGTTTTTTTTATTCAGTTTCTGAAATTAATATTTAATTGTATATTTAATTTATTGTTTAAATGTTGTGTAAATTATTTAAACATTAAAACCATGTAAAATTACAGTATGGTCCTAAAGTTTACCAGTGCTTATTGAGGGATTGAATGTTTGAACTTGAAATTAATTCAATGCGTACTGTTATTTGTTTCTAGGTCTGTTCGTCAAATGGCTCAAGAACAGTTCTTCCTCATGGCCACCCGATGTTGTATGGGCCATAGGCCTCTTCTCTTCTTCATCACCCTCCTCTTCACAGTTTTAGGTGTAAGTGTCTTGTATATTTCTTTGGGACACAGTTGGGCATTTTTTTGTTGTTGTTAATTCGGAACATCTCATTATTTGTAGCCATATTTATCCTGTCCTTTTGTGTTCCAGAGCACTGCAAAAGAGCGGGCAAAGCATGCTGCTGATTACTTCACTCTTCTTAGGCACTTACTCAACTATGCATATAACAGCAACATTAATCTTCCTAATGCAGAAGTTCTCTTAAACAATGAGATTGACTGGTTAAAGCGCATACGGGTATGTTCGTTTACCTAAACCTCTTTTTGGAATAAAAATGGTGTAAACTTTAGTGTGTGAAAAATTTGACTTTTTTTTTTTTTTTTGTTTCCCCAGGATGAAGTGAAGAGGACTGGAGAGCCTGGGGTTGAGGAGACAATTTTGGAAGGTCATATTGGTGTCACAAAAGAGCTACTAGCATTCCAGACCCCAGAGAAGAAGTTCTACATTGGCTGTGAAAAAGGAGGCGCTAGTCTTATCAAGGTAAACGTATTGGCCACTTTTGCTTAATTACAACAACAACAACAAAAAAAAAGAAAAATCTTTTTTTTTTTTTTTTTTTGCCACTGCATTGCCATATCAGACTAATTGATCTTCCTTTGTTTTCCATGCACTGTATAGGAGTTAATGGATGACTTCCTGTTCCCAGCATCTAATGTGTACCTGCAATATATGAAGAGTGGAGAATTCCCCACTGAGCAGGCCATACCTGTGTGTAGCACCCCAGCCACCATCAATGCCGGCTTTGAACTGCTGGTTGCACTTGCTGTCGGATGTGTGCGAAATCTCAAGCAGATTGTGGACACACTAACTGATATGTACTATTTAGGTGTGTGTGATAATGTTAGAAGTGTAGCAGATACTGATTCCTAGAAACAGTGCACTCAACCCCATCAGTTTTTATGATGTATAAATATTTAGTTGTTGTTGTTTTTTTATAACAGTTTTTTTTTATGTACCTTTAGGTTGTGAACCACTTACAGAATGGGAATATTTGCCGCCAGTTGGCCCAAGGCCCACTAAGGGGTTTGTGGGTCTGAAAAATGCAGGTGCGACTTGCTACATGAACTCAGTGATCCAGCAGCTCTACATGATTCCTCCTATCAGGAATGGCATCCTGGCCATTGAAGGCACGGGCAGCGATGTGGATGATGATATGTCTGGAGACGAGAAGCAAGATAATGAGGTACTGCCTAACATGGTTAATTTCCGGAGTCTCAGACTGTGTTATTTTAATAGTTTTAGTATTAAATTTGATTTTTAAATTCTGTTTAGCTTTAATTCTGGTTTTAGTATTCTTAGTACTTAAACATTTAAACATACTTAAACATTTAAACGACAGATTTTTCATCTAATATTTATGTTTTTCAGATATATATATTTTCAGCTTTGTTTCAATTAACAAAAAGAACTTTTAATAGTTTTAGTTAACAGTAACACTGGCGCATTGCATGTTGAAGCAAGGAAATTTGTAATGGGCTGTTAGCATCTGTCACAATCATGGTGAATAAGAATGGGAGTAGGAATGCCTAGGGAACAGCTCAGGTGGAGGGGTGTGGCTTCTCATTTCCTAGTATAATTAAGCTCAGGTGTGTGCTTTATTAACCCAGCGAGTGCTTGCAACTCTTGGACTTGTTGTTCTGGAAGGACACATAATGGATTGTTCCTAGAGAGGTTGTGTTTTTAGTTTCTGATGTCCGTTAATGTCGTTTAAATTTAAATGATGTTGTACATGCTCGATGATGACGGTCATCCTTTCTCAGTACCAAGTGACTGACAAATTTAGCCGTCTCTGGAGTGTATATGCCATGTGGGCACTCCCTGGAGCTGAGGGCATTTTAACAAAAGTTTAATTTTGCAGAGTAATGTGGATCCACGGGATGAGGTGTTTGGTTATCAGCACCAGTTTGAAGACAAACCTTCTCTCAGTAAGTCGGAAGACAGGAAGGACTACAACATTGGGGTTCTTCGGCAGTTGCAGGTCATTTTTGGACACTTGGCTGCCTCCAGGTTGCAATATTACGTGCCTAGGGGATTCTGGAAGCAATTTCGGTAAATTCACCTTCTCTATTTTATGTAATCCTCCTTTCTTTTAAGACTACTGAGCAAGGCACAATTCTCTAAACTGGCCTCTTTATTCTTTCTGCAGGTTGTGGGGTGAACCAGTCAATCTGAGGGAACAGCATGATGCCCTGGAGTTCTTTAACTCACTGGTAGACAGTCTAGACGAGTCTTTGAAAGCATTGGGTCACCCTGCCATGCTGAGCAAAGTACTGGGTGGCTCTTTTGCTGACCAGAAAATATGTCAGGGCTGTCCTCACAGGTACATTGGAAATCTAATATTGATTTTTTTCTTTTATTTTTTATTCTTAGAAAATCTGTGTCCCAGTGTAACACACTCCATAATGTCTTTTCAGATATGAATGTGAGGAATCGTTTACGACGTTGAATGTAGATATCAGAAACCATCAAAATCTAATTGATTCTATGGAGCAGTACGTGAAAGGAGACTTGCTCGAGGGTGCAAATGCCTATCACTGTGAAAAATGCAACAAGAAGGTGTGCTTTCTGTTTTTATTTATCTTTAGGATGTCTTTTGTTGTTAATTAAGAGGACTCTATTAAGCTCAAGATGGTGTCTACATGACAGGTGGACACAGTGAAGCGTTTACTCATTAAGAAGTTTCCTCCGGTGTTGGCCATCCAGCTGAAACGCTTTGATTATGACTGGGAACGAGAGTGTGCCATCAAGTTCAATGATTACTTTGAGTTCCCACGGGAGTTAGACATGGAGCCCTATACAGTAGCTGGAGTAGCTAAGCTGGAGGGGTCTGATGTGCACCCAGAGAACCAGGTATTACACTTTCTTTGGTGGTCTTAAAGTTGTCTAATTCATATAAATGTAATTTGGAAATATTTTTATAGCTGAAGTTTTGAAACTGTCTTTAGCAGGAGGTGATCCAGCAGAATGAGCCGTCGGAGCCGGAACCCCCCTGCAGCTCTCGCTATCGTTTGGTGGGAGTTCTGGTCCACTCAGGCCAGGCTAGTGGAGGTCATTATTACTCCTACATCATTCAGAGGAACGGCAGTGGTTGTGAGGGAGAAAGGAACCGTTGGTACAAGTTTGACGATGGTGACGTCACTGAATGCAAGATGGATGATGACGAGGAGATGAAGAACCAGTGCTTTGGTGGAGAGTACATGGGCGAGGTCTTCGACCACATGATGAAACGCATGTCCTATAGGCGACAGAAGCGCTGGTGGAACGCCTACATTCTCTTTTATGAGCGAATGGACACATTAGACAAGGATAGCGAGCTAGTTAAATACATCACTGAGCTGACAGTGACCAGCAAACCTTACCAGGTGAAGATGCCCTCTGCTATTGAACGCAGTGTGCGCAAACAAAATGTGCAGTTTATGCACAACCGTATGCAGTACAGCTTGGAGTACTTCCAGTTCATCAGGAAATTGCTGACCTGTAACAGTGTCTACTTGAACTCACCGCCAGGTAAATCCAGCCATTGACCTTGCTCTATTCTCCTCTGTTGTAGATGGATCAGGGCTGCAACATGTGATTAATTTTATCAATCTGTTTCTTTGATAAATGTATAAAAAGCAGAATTTGACTTTCTTGTATCTTATTGAGGGAAAAGTTTCTCCACATCCTTGATATTCACCTGATATTAAAAATAAATTGTATTAATACCTTAAGATTAAATTAAAATATTGTTATATTTGGTTATTTCTAAAATTTGAGAGAATGTAACTAAAGTTATATATTTATGTCAAAAATTTGGGGTTAGTAAGATTTTTTTGAAAGTGTCGTCTTCGGTTTACCAAGGCTGCATTTATTTGATTTATTTAAGGAATATTGTGAAATATTGAAATTTTAAAACTTTTCTGTTATGCTATGAAGTATAATTTATTTCTGTGATGTCACAGCTGATATTTCAACAGCCATTACTGCAGTCCTCAGTCTCACATGATCCTACAGAAAACATTTTATTTTTATTTTTTTCTACTTTTAGCTTCATCAGTGTTGCTGTTGATGTCTAACTGTGTGTGTTTGGGAAATGGATTTCCTTTTTCCTCATTACACATCAGACTCCTGTTGTTGCTGCTGCAGAATAATCTATTCTAGGAGATGGTGAAAGCTATTGTAGCATTAACGATTATTTGTGGCTTTTAGGTCAAGACCACCTTTTGCCTGAAGCAGAAGAAATGGCTATGATTAGTATACAGCTCGCTGCTAGATTTCTCTTCAGCACTGGGTTCCACACAAAGAAAATCGTCCGTGGCCCTGCTAGTGATTGGTAAGCATGTGATTTGTTTATCAGGCACATGTTTGCCTTCAACAGTTAGTTGATCCTTGTTTATCAATGTTTCTTTTATTTCAGGTATGATGCTCTGTGCATCTTGCTACGACACAGTAAGAATGTGCGTTACTGGTTTGCACAGAACGTCCTCTTTGCATATCCGAACCGCTTCTCTGAGTACCTGCTTGAGTGTCCCAGTGCAGAGGTTCGAGGGGCCTTCTCCAAACTCATTGTATTTATTGCACATTTCTCCCTGCAAGATGGACCCTGCCCTTCACCGATTGCCTCACCTGGACCTTCAAGTCAGGTACATCTCTTCAATCTAGGCTTCCCTCATTCATGGGAATTTGGAACTCAGTCCATAGGTTGTTGTACATTTTACATTATTTGTCCTTTTGTCTCAGGGCTGTGATAATTTGAGTTTGAGTGAGCACTTGTTCCGTGCCATACTTAATCTGCTGAGAAGGGAAGTGTCTGAGCATGGCCGTCACCTGCAGCAGTACTTCAGCCTTTTCGTCATGTATGCCAACCTTGGTAAGAACCACTCGACACCCTTAAGGTCTGCATCCGTACAGGCTTGCATGCAATAGTGCTGTCTTGTCTCACTCCATTTCCTTCTCTAAGGCTTGGCAGAGAAGACACAGCTGTTGAAGCTCGGGGTACCAGCTACCTTCATGCTTGTGGCTTTGGATGAGGGCCCCGGCCCTCCTATTAAGTACCAGTATGCTGAGCTCGGAAAGCTCTATACTGTCGTCTCACAGCTGGTTCGCTGCTGTGATGTGACGTCACGTATGCAGTCCTCAATCAACGGTGAGCGTTTTTATACCTTGCTGCTAAATGTGTGTATTCTGATACACAACAAAATGGTCTGTAGGATTTCACATGTAGTTTTGATCCCCATTGCCCAATGAAGATGCTCATCCTTGCTCAGGACTTCCTGACTGACACAAAGCCATCTCCAGGCATCTGCCAGGTTGGCATTGCTTGGAGCTGAGGGCATTTACAGAGAAACAAGCAGAGAAGCACTTTTCATTTATTTATTTATTTTTGTCAAGCCAATACAACCTTCAAATACGTAGTGTTTCAACATCATCCATTATGTTTTAGAAGTTTGATCTTTTGACACTAATTATTTGCATGCAAAAAGAAAATTTCCCTCCACTTCTTCCCAGACCACCAGCCAGGATATGAGCTGATATTTCCACATGTTGACATTTTTAGGAAACCCTCCCCTGCCAAACCCATATGGTGACCCCAACATCACCGCACCCATCATGCCTCTGCAGCAGGTGGTGGTGGACATCCTGTTTGTGCGTACCAGTTATGTGAAGAAGATTATCGAGGACTGCAGTAACTCAGAGGACACTATCAAACTGCTGAGATTCTGCTGTTGGGAAAACCCTCAGTTTTCCTCCACTGTGCTGAGTGAACTACTGTGGCAGGTGAGAAGGATCACCAGCATTTGTCTTTCAAAAGACTATTTTCAATTTAAAGCTGCAGACCGTAACTTTTTTTTTTTGGTAAAAAATGATCCGAAATTTGCTTTTTGGGTTAAAAGAATTTCTTAATATGAAATTCGAAGAGTATGACAGTTAGATTAGACTGTGCAGAAATTGAAGTCTACACGCTAATACACACTATACTCAAAGTCACCAATGCTGATGTTGTTAACATAAATCATTTGAGAATAAAGTATAACAATAATAATAATTTGAACGGGTTGATGTGATATGAGCTAACCGATCTTTAGATTTAATCACCATTGGTAGCGAGATTTATGTTAATGCTTTTTTCCTCAGTTGGTCAAAACAAACGTGGCAGACTTGTTACTTGTTCAGATGGCAATATACAGTAAAAATTCTTATTTGGGTCATATTCCAAGACGTAGGCTAGAATCTGTGATTGCGAAGTACAGTAAATATCCACACCGGTGCAGTGACTGACTGCCACACATACTCCTCAGAACATTAGATTCATCCGCGCTGGAGCCGTGCCGACTCGCAACCCACGCAAGCTAGATAATTCCGCACACAGCTGCAATTCCAGGTTTTCAAACAGATGGCGACAAAGAGGCAAAACTTACGGACTGCAGCTTTAAGCAACATTTGTGAATATTGCAATTACATTTTGTGGTGATAATGCACATTTTATTTGGCCATTCACTAGTTTTCTGCTATCTCCCTTTCTTGCAAATTGTGAGAATGAGAGAAGTTAGACAACTATTTTAATAGCATCTGATTTAAACTGAAGTAGCATAATGCTATTGGAGTTTGAAAGGTCTGTGAATCAGTACAAACGGTCTGTTCATGAATTCAGAGCTCTTAAGCATACATACATACATGGCATGGTTGATGTTAAATATATACATTTTGCTGTATCATCTAGCCATGTTTCTGATAAGTATTTATTTTTTCTGATTGTCTAAGGATGGTTCTAAATGCTGGTGTTTTTGTGTAGGTGGCATATTCATACACGTATGAGTTAAGGCCTTACCTGGACTTGCTCCTTCAGATCTTGTTTATTGAAGACTCATGGCAGACTCACAGGTCAGTCTATCTTTCCACTTCATATTTAGCAAATGCCTTTTATGTGAACCAGCTTACAAGGAAAAAACCCTGGAACAACCTGAAACTCTTAAGAGCACAATGGTAATTGAGTACTGCAATTTAGTTCATGGAGTGAAGTCCTTAATATTTAGGCCTCTTGACCTCCTTTTTAGATTAATTAAATTCCTGATTGCATAATGATGTCCTGCTCTGCTCTCTTTTTTTTTTTTTATGGTTTGTTAGGATCCACAATGTGCTGAAGGGAATCCCTGATGATCGTGATGGGCTTTTTGATACCATTCAGCGCTCCAAAAATCACTACCAAAAGAGAGCTTATCAGTGTATCAAATGCATGGTGGCTCTTTTCAGCAACTGCTCAGTGGCCTGTCAGATTCTCCAGGTGAGAATGTCAGCTTAAGAATGAAAGGCTTTGCATGTGAATGGGTTTGTTGTTTTTAATATACAAAAACTGATTGATTTACTTTTTCCAGAGTAATGGCGATTTAAAGAGGAAGTGGACCTGGGCAGTGGAGTGGCTCGGTGACGAGCTGGAACGTAGACCGTACACTGGCAATACCCAGTACACTTATAATAACTGGTCCCCTCCTGTCCAGAGCAATGAGACTTCTAATGGATACTTTCTGGAGCGCTCACACAGTGCCCGTATGACTTTAGCCAAGGCCTGTGAGTTGTGCCCAGAAGAGGTATGTGATATCATGCGTACCCCTTTTTGTCTGCAACATTAGTGCCGATATGTTTAGTTTAAAAAGTCCAATCATGTATGTGTGCTTCTGCCCATTAGTTGAGACTTTTTAATAATTGCATTTGTATTTACATTTTTGCATGGTTGCTTTTTTATAGAACCCCTTCAGTAAATACTGAACATGTTGGTTTAATGTAGAGAAACGCTTTATTCAATCTTTTCTTATTTATTTTTTTTCTTTTCAAAATCTGCACTGAAATCTCACACCATGACTGTATGATGGGCAGGCACACACATCAAATGTTTAACTTTTGGAAAGCATTTTTGAAGAATCTAGAAGTGTTTAGTGTGCTAAATAGCCACGTTTATCTATAGGTAGGGCTTTGAGTTTTCGACTTTTTATTTCCAGGTTTTCATTTTCATAACGCAACGCAATTATAAATGCTGTTGATATTTGCACAAATGTAAGTTTAATTATATTTACGCTTGATTTCATGCCATAGATGTTTTTTTTTTTTAAAGCTATTTCTATTAATTTGCAGGAATAAATCGCTTGCTTTAATCAATAGCAGATTTCCACAAATGTTAAATGTATGCAGCCATAGATGCATAATTTGTTGAAACAGTATGCAATATTAACTGCCGTTTCAAAATAGTGTCACTTAACGAAGCACGAGGGGGTATCTGAAGAGGACGCTGGCCGGAATCCGTCCTCAACACAGCAACTTTTGCCAGGGGAAGTGACAGGTCAACAACAGCACACCGTAAGACTCGTATGGCCCGGCCACACTGTTGCCATCTGCGTAACTCTTTTTGGTGTTCACAGGGTGTTATGTAGGCAGAACCATCTTCCACCTCCCTCAAAAACAACTATAAATCAACTGTTATTTCGTCATCATCTCCGTGTGTCCAAACGGTTTCTTTCTACGCAATTATAAGTCTTAATGTGGTAACTAAGTGATCGAAAACTCTAAGCCTTGGCTATAGTGTACAGATGAGTTGGAGGTAATTTTGTGTGGTGTTTTGAGTCAGTTATTATTTTGGGAATGTGACTTGTTCTGGTCATCTGATCTGAAAACCTCCTGCACTTCTGAGAAGCATTTGTGTGACTGCAAATTTGGAAGTGGTGTTAGTTTTATATTCCATTCTGATGATTAACTTTTTCTGAGGAAGAACACAATGTTCAGGAGGAAGTGTTTAGCATAAGTCACCACACTAATCAATTAATCCATGGGCAATTTCCTGTCTGTCATCAGAAGCTTCCTTTAGTTTGGAAAAGTTTGTCAAATTGAAGTATAAGAGTGTGTGGTAGATGTGGTGTCCATTTATGGTGTTCCCTCATCTGTCAGTGGATTTCACTGTCTTAAAGTCCCCTAAGTAATTTGCCTTGTTCGTCTAAATCAAACCTATAAAGCCTTGAGCTTTCCTGTTGTATTGACTTTGTATGTTTAATGGGTTTTATATTGAAAAGGACTCTTTATGGAGGACATTGTTCACACACATCCCTGGTTTAGTTAGTATTAAGCAAACAGCTTTATATTTAATTGTATATCTAGCACTCAACATTATTTTTGATGGTGGTTTTAGGAGCCTGATGAGCAGGAGGCCCTTGATGAGCGGGACACTTCTCCTCCAGAGGACACTGCTCTATACCCTCACTCTCCGGGCACAAAGTTTCAACAGGTACTGAGCTTCACAGTCACACAAGCCTCATACTACTCAACCTCTCTTAAACCATATAATGTATTTGTGAATTAGAAGTACCATTCTGAAGAGTTTCATAAGCTTTCTTCACTGCAAACCCATGCTCTGGTTGTACTGGGACCTCACATTAAAAAGGCATTCAAAGCCCCTCATGATTTAAGTTTGTTGTTGATTTGGTAAATTGATATTTGAAGGCCAAGGATTTTAAGGCTGCATTTACACTGGCACAAAAAAATCTGATTTTTGTGCTCGCATCGGACACAGATCGGAATGTGTTGCGCACACGTAAACAAAAATCTGCACAAGATCTGATTTTTTTCGCATCCGATCTGAGCCACTTCCAAATGTGGATTTTAATCTGATACATATCCGATATCTGGACATCTGACCTACGTCTAAATGCACACATCCGAATCCCCGCAGAACTCCCAATGCGTTTGCCAGATGTGCATGCGCTCGCATTTTATTTAGATGGAAACATTATGTAGGCTAGGTAAGAAATTGCACGTTCAGGAGCTGGTTTTCAACCCATGCCCCGTGAATTTTATAAATACAACAGCTTTGCTAAATCTACATTATATTTCTTAGCAATGACGTGATAACTTTCACTTGTTCGCAAGCTCTCTCTCTCTCTCTCTCTCTCTCTCTCTCTCGTTAATTCATTCAAATTCGTTTAAATATCATCTTGGTGCTACTTTTTCACTAAAGAATTCCACCTCTAACAAGCTGTAGATAAAATAGCCTAACAAATGAAAATTACCGTTATTTATCCGTTCAGTCAGATTTTGTGCTGCAAAACATCCATGACAGCTGTTGTCCATGCTGGCAAATAATAATGGCCACTTGACGTGTTTTATATACATTTTAAAACCAAGGTCATTCAAAACCTGAGGGTCTACCATGTGCATAGTAAAGCGATCGTTGACATCATTTTGGGCGGTAATTATGTAAACACAGATATCTGATACCAGTTGTGTCTAAAGTGAATGTAAACAGACGGGTCAAAAGATCGGATCTGTGCATTAAGACTTGCAGTGTAAATGCAGCCTAAAGCTTTCAAAATCTTTTAGAAAATTTAAAGCTTTAAAGATATCAAATTTTTGGGTGAACTATCCCTTTAGTTATTTAATATGGGGTCTTTTTATTTTCAGAATTCTTTATGCAAATGTGATATTATTTTTAATGAAATGATCTAAATAAGAAAATAAAACTGGTGATAGGTGGCAGTAAATGTCTTAAGTCATTGAGTCATTCAATAATTCGTTTGGTTTGTTGAAACGACTTATTCAGGAATTAAATGGCTCTCTTTATGAATAAGTCATTGAATCATTGGTTCACCCGATTCGTTTAAAACTCTGAGATGCACAACAGTTCTGTTGTGGCTTTAATAGGTAATATTTGCATTGGCAAAACGGACAATATTGTCTAAAATAGAACACCATATTAAGTTCTTATTGAACTGTCGTATCAAATCACATTTGCACTGGACCTATTTGGGACAAAAACCGCACTCGTGTGATATGGTACTCGTTGCTCGTGATATTGCTTAACTATATCATTTGATGAAACTAAGACAATCTCATACGGGGGTGTTTTTCCCCCAATCTCTTCAATTTTAGGGGCATATACAGTGGGTATAGAAAATAATCACCCCCTTTAAAATAATCACATTTTGTTGCTTTGCAGCCTGAACTGAAGACCGACAGTTTTTGTTTTGTCAGGCTGTATTTACTCAGTGCATCTTATAACATCCAAGTGAAAGATATAACACCAACATGTCAAAAAAAAAAAAACAATCACTGAGTTGGAAAAAGGACTATCTCCTTGTGTCAGTATTTTGTTGAATCACCTTTTGCTTTAATTGCAGCCTTTAGTCTGTTGGGGTACGTCTCTGTCTCTACTAACTTTGCACATCTAGACTTTGCGATATTTGCTCATTCTTCTTTGCAGAACTGCTCAAGTTCAGTTAAATTTGATGTTGACCGTTTGTGGAGGCCTTTGCTGTAGACCTCTTGGTAGCCTCTCTGACCAGTTTCCTCTGGGCTCTTTCATCCAGTTTGGAGCGATGTCCTGATCTAGGGAGGGTCTGTGTTGTACCAAATACCTTCCACTTCTTAATAATAGACTTCACTGTGCTTCTAGGCATTTATAAAGCCTTTCACTTTTTTGTATCCATCTCCTGACTTGTGCCTGTCCATAACTTTTCCACAACTGGATAAAACACAAACTGTGTCCATCTTCATTTCAGGCTGCTAAGCAACAAAATTTGTATACCCAATGTAACTGCATTTTATTGGCTACATCACGCCTTGTATCATGTTCGTCACCAATCAACTGTATCCACCTTATTTTTAAACGTGGAAGTAAGCAGTTTTCTGTGAATGCAGTAAACGGTAAAACTGTTTGCACTACAAACCAGTGTGTTTGTAATTAAGATTAAACATTAAAATAACATGGTAAGACACACTAGTTTTGCAATATCAAGCAGCAAAATTAGCTGTTTTGTACAGCTAAAAATAGCTGGAAGCGAATGACACTGGAAGCCTTGCACATTAAATTTACAAATGGCCACACCCGCTCTTACGGGGAAAAATAAGGTGGATAGGTGTGTTTGACTTGGTCAGTGGTGCTGCACAGACCAATCGGTGTATGACAAAGTACCACGAGAACAGACGTCTCTGCAGGTTTATGAAATGTAAAATAACGTACATTGGGCGGGTATGTTCATTGCATTCATTTTAACATGTTATTTTGTTTTCCGTAACTAATTATATTAACACATTAAATCGACAGCCCTAATTTATGTACAATTTATTTCAGGTTTGATTGATTTATTGGATCCCTGCTAAATAAAAGTGTTTTTCAAAAATAAAAAAGATTTTTTTAAAATAGCAGTTTATTTGGATTCATTTATGTGTCTTATTTTACCTGTTTTTGCCGAATAATGGCTTTCATATTTACTCCAGTTTGGGAGTATTTGCTCCCCCTTTTTTTTTGTTTGTGAATGAACATCTTTTTTTCCACTAACTTTAAATGCTCTGAATCTGTTACACAAGTCACCTTTTAAATAAGTGTCAGTTGTTATATAATGGCATCTACAAATCTGAGTAAAGCATATGTATTTTGTGGTTGTCATGTAATCATTTGATTGTTCTTGTCTTTTCAGCAGAATAACCTCCCGCATATGCAGCCGTACACTGGCCCCGCAGCACAGCACGTCAACAACCCTCAGCGTCCAGGCCCACGAGCACAAGAGAACTGGGAGCCCCCTGAGGAGGTGCCGCCCAGTCAGACTAAAGACTAACAATGTTGTCACACTGTCCTCCATCGGAGTTCTCCAGCGAGATACTCGAATCCAGAGCAAGGCCAGGCCCCACCATGCTGATCTACTCCAGAGCCCGTGTAACCAGAACATTAAGCTTCCCTCAATTTCTAACTCTGGAGTGGAGAGTCTCTTCACCGTCTGCTCGACAGTATTAACTGTCAAAAGTGTAACTTGCAGTGGACTGTGCATATTGTTTGTAATAATAAAACGGGCCTGTCGCACTTGTCTCATGACAGAGGTGTACATACTGTGTTAATGTTTTGACTGTTCAAAAGCAACCGCGTGTGTGATTGCTGTTGGGAGACTGCAGATTTATGAAAATGGAAAAACCACAAAAAAAGATGCAAATACACAACGGTGAAAGACAAAAAAAAAAAATCCCTGTTTTACCCTATGCTCAGTAGTAAGGTTTGGGCCATTTGGGTCATTCTGCTTTTGATCATACATTATATTCATGTCGAAGCTTAACTGGCTATGGCACCTCGTGAGCAAGAGTTAGCCATAGTTTGTAAACGATGGGACGATTGGGTGATGATCTTGATGTTTAGTTGATGTGAATGGGGTGATGCAACTTTATTCTGGAAATTCCTATTGCCTTTTTTCTTTTTCTGGTAATAATTCAACAATTTGAAAGCTCCAACTGACACGCTGTAACATCTTAGCATGGCTTCACATCAAACCAGTATAGCCGAAGGGCAATTCTGCGATTTCTTCCTCCACAGCGATTCAGAAGAGCCCTCTTTTTGGTCTCCTACTCCATATGCTCTTCTAGATTTGATGTTTTTGAAGCAATGCAAGAAGTGGCTTTACAATTGCACACATTTCCTCCGATAAATATTTGGCTGTCGCTTTTTTTGATGGGATAAATGCTTAGGTTTTGATGATAGGAATTTTAGAAAGAGAAAAGATATGCAACAGTTCATGGCAGGATGTCTGGAACATTAGTGGACAATGCGTTTTGCTCATTTGTCTTGACTTGCGTCAGACAAATGACCTCCTGGCAGTTTGGTCGATCGCCTGACTTCATGATCCCTGTTCACATTCGTGTACTCGAAAAGAGGCTGTTTGGGGACTCTTCATTTAAGGAGAGCGAACGTAAAAGCGGGGTTGTACCATAAAATAACTGCTGGTTAGTCATGTTGCAACTTCAGTTAGTAAAGTCTCTTGGATTAAAGGAGTAAACATCAGTAGATACTGTATGTATTTTATTGGTAACTTGAATGCTTTTTTTTTCTTCTCGAGTTTTGTTGGAAAAATACAAAATACTCCTGCAAGTGAAAATATTCTGCCCATCATATATTTAAATATTTTGCCGTTTAATTTTATAGAATTTATTTTGTTGTATTTCACTAAAAGGAAAAATAGAATTTGATTTAAGAGGAACATTTTTGTCCTTGTGTTATTTTTAAAGATTATTGATTGTACAGAGTTCTTCGCCCTGTTTTTTGCCGACTTTTGTTTTGGCCATGATGTGACGTTGAATTCTGAAGCCACAGTCACAATGTTGACTTTCACCTTTTTGTGCACAGAACTATTAGAGAAAAGCATTGTGCCCTTCAAGAATAAAGAAAAGAAATCTGGAAAATGTCTGTCTGTTATTGTGAAGATTCAAAGCTGCCAGATGTTTTTATGTATTGATTGTTTCAAGTACATTATATTCACTGTAGAGTGCATAGCTCTATTGGCACAAAAACCAAAAATGTGCTTGCAACCATGTGTGTTGGTGTATCCGGTATTAAGATTTTTCCATAGAATATTGCTGACAAATAAGAAAACACTTATATTTCAGGTCACCTAGGAGAATGGGAGTATTTCTATGAAATTGCTATAACATGCTTATAAACCTGAGTGTTGTTTTTTTTAGTTGAAAAGAATTAGCTTAAGCTTGTTTTAAACCAGTTTGGACTGCTATTCCAAAACAATCCACTTTAAGTGGTTTTTAATTTTCAGTCTGATCAGAAGAGACCGAGCAATCCATTAAACCCACATGGTAATACTACTGTAGGCTGAATTATGTAGGGTTTTTGCTTAAACCTGTACATCTCTTGGAATTTAATATCTAATCACATTTAAGTTCAAGGCGAGGCAAATACTTCAACAGATTCCTGAGAACACTTAATTGTTCTTCCTGTTGGATAGGTTGCATAGTTCACCTGCCATTCTTAACCAGCCTAAATGACACCCATAAGGCCAATCTAAAAAATATGTAGGGTGAGAACTTTTTTTTTCTTTTTCAGCAGGCAGTGAAGTGATTCTGGTTGAAGAAACGACACTGGAAATTTGTCTTGGTGCCCAAACATGGATATGACTCGTAGAAAGTAGTTACAACTTTTATTTATAAATACAATTGAAGTTCTTGTCATTATTAGCTATATACTCTTAAATTTATGTCTCATGTCATCTACAAGACCAGTGGGTGATTCTGTAATTTTCCATACCCTTGATTTAATGTTACAACATATTTTTGTAACTCGTGATTACAGGCGAGAATGATTTTAAAAGATTTAGAATTGTTTTTTTAAAAACGTGTTTCTAGTTGATCTCAGTATGACTACAATAATTTGATATAATATTCACTACATATTTTAAATGACCCTTCAGGTCTGTATACAACTATAAAGTTACAATATTTTTAGGTCTTTCCTGACAGTAGGAAGTCTTTATACATGAGGTAACCCTGGAGCTAATCAAAAAACCACAGCCCCATACTAATTTACCATGTTGGAACTGTAGAATTTGAAATATAAACTTATCACTTCCACTTTAACAAGAAAAAAAAGGTTCACTTATAACAAGGGTTTAACATTTAACAAGGGTAAAATTGCAATCCTATATGCCATTCTAACATGCATTTTCTTTTTTGTAATATGACTAAACTTCTGGATGGTGTTAGTATAGAAACAGTAATAACTGATAAAGACGTCAAGAGGTAAATGACTTTGTTTGGACATTTTATTATGAAGATACACATTAGTTTTCCTTGTCCTGGACGGTCTTTGTTCCACGCAGTCTGCCAGTGCGACGGGCAGCAATGAGACCAACCTTGCGTCCAGCGGGCGCGTCCCTCCTGATTGTTGAGGGCTTGCCAATATGCTGATGGTTACCACCACCGAAGGGATGCTCAACAGGCTGGAGAAGCAAACAGCACAGGTCAGATTTAAAACCAGCATTTAGACAACTATTCAGAATCGGAAATAACCTGTAATGAAGTTTGCTTACGTTCATAGCCACACCACGGACACGAGGCCAGCAGTTCCTCTTGGCCTTGTACTTGTGGTACGCACGTCCTGCCTTCAGGATGGGTTTGTCAATACGACCACCACCAGCAACAACACCTTTAATAAGTGACAACAGACTTCAGTTTACATTAAAGACTTCAAAATTGAACACACAACTACCCCTTAAGCATTTGCTATAGCACAGACTCCCAAACATTGTCAGTCAAGCCTCTTTGATTTAAAGTACATATTTTAAAAATGTAACATCTTTTTTGTCATTTTTTCACTTTGTTCTTATTTTTTTCATAATTAAAAAAATTCAATTGAACATTTTTGTGATTATTAGCTCTTCAAGTTACAAACCCATTCGAGTTTGAAAAACCCTGTGCTATAAAATACATTCAAATTATATACTCAAACTATAAATTCCCATGGTCACACAACATATTTCAATGGACAGATTCAGTGGCAAGCACCACAAAAAAAAATGTTATTTTATGAAAGATAAGGAAAAACAAACGCCCAACAACCCTCAACGGACACCTTGGCAATTGAATCGCCATTGGCTAGTAAATTTTTTTGTTTACTCGCCAGACTGAAATACTATGCTATAGCCTACTATACTACTGAAGCGCTCAGTCAGTGTTCTGTGAGTGAAAATATATCTGTGCTAATCATATACTCAGCATCCAACTCACACACTGGCGAGTAAACTCTGAGAATTGATTAGCCATTGGCTAATATTAGACATAATTTAATTGCCCAGAGTGAAGATTTAGTCACATATGTGAGTGATTTACTCGCAATGTAGAGGGTTGGCCCAAGGATTTTACAAAATGAAAATCAATCCAAAACCTAATTAATAACCATGCAACGCAAGGAACACAATAGGTTATTAACCAAAACTTCTCGATATTAACTAAAACCATGTTTGCTTACCAACGACAGCTCTGTTTGCAGAAGAGATGACCTTTTTGGATCCAGATGGAAGCTTGACTCTGGATTTCTTGGTCTCAGGGTTATGGGAGATGACTGTGGCGTAGTTTCCGGACGCACGAGCGAGTTTGCCTCTATCTCCGGGCTTCTCCTCCAGACAGCAGACAATGGTACCCTCAGGCATGGTGCCAACGGGGAGCACATTGCCAATGTTCAGCTGGGCTATAACGGTCCAATCACTTTCATCAGCATGTGCACATAAGACTGGATGTTTGTTTGACCAATTCTCAACTTGAAATGCATTACCTTTCTTGCCACAGTAGATGAACTGGCCAGTGTGGATGCCTTCAGCTGCAATGAATAGTTCTGTCCTCTTCTTGAAGCGGTATGGGTCACGAAACATCACCTTAGCCAAGGGAGCTCCACGGCCAGGGTCGTGAATGATGTCCTAGAGGAAAAAGCAGTTTTTTGTTATTTCCAACTTTAGATGACAACTGACCTTTCCAAGATGTCATTTAATCCCCAATTTTACCTTCACAATCCCCTTGATGTAGCCATGGCGTTCAGCAAAGTCAATATGACGGAGTTTAGCAGCACCTTTTCTGTGCTTGACATGGGCTTTGAAGACGGAGCCCGCACCTTTTCTCTGTCCCCTGATCACACGTCCCATTGTGGCCTGTAGGAACAAACCATTAATATTTATATAGAATCGTTATTTCATTCTGCATTACATCTCATATGGTCACCATTCACATGGTAAAGAAAAGGTTGCAATGAAAATGCATACATTCATCTGTCATTCTGCTTCACATCATAAATAGCCAGTAGTTAACAGTATCCCACACTAACGAAACGCACAATTAAAACCAATGCATAATAATTCGTTGGCTTACAATTTAATGTCGTTTAATTGAAAGAAACTCCGCCGAGTCTCTATAGTCTCACCAGCGCTCTAGGCCACAACATGACCACGGATACATTGTCGCTCCGACTATAAATATCGCATTCAGTTTCAACACTGAGACCCGAAAGGGCAAAGATATGTCCTCAAGTGATATGCTGACTTTATACGGCTTGTT